ACATACAGGATGTCTCATAATCTTTTTTTTTTTTTTTTTTTTTTTTTTAATGGTGGTGGGGATTGAACCTAGGGCCTTTGTGAGACAAGCACTCTACCAACTGAGCTGTATCCCCCAGTCCTCATAATCTTTTTTTTTTTTTTTTTAAGTTGTAGATGGACACAATATCTTTATTCACTCTTTTTTTTTTTCTTTTTTTTTTAATGTGGTGCTGAAGATTGAACCCAGCGCCTTGGGTATGTGAGGCAAGCGCTCAACCACTGAGTTACAACCCCAGCCCCCTTCATAATCTTTTGTACCTCATTGTACCTTCATAATCTTTTGACCAAGTATGGTCCTACTGAAACTTCATCTGATAAACTTTACCAAAAAAGGACCCTTCCTGTGTGTCCCCTCCTTCACACTATCAGCAGTTTGTATTCACCTTGGCATGATTCACTTCTGCCTCTGAGGATCTGATTTAGATGAACTGGTGATCAAATTGATCACAAGCCTGAGTTAAAGTAATTCTTCATGGCTCTGCCACTCCACAGAAATCCCACAGGGTTGCTGCTGATTTTCTACAAATCGTGTAACTTCTCTGGGCCTCTCTTTCTTCTTCTGTCAAATAAAGGAATTAGATTGGATGATATTATTAAGTCCTGACCATCTATAAAATGCTAAATTTTGCCTTGCATGCACAAAGCCCTGGGTTCAATCCCAGTACCCCACACAAAGAAAAACCTAAATTTCTGTGACTTTATATTTTATTTGCTCCATGGGATAGGACTGGGCTTTTTGGGATACTAGATTTATTGAAGATCCTTTTGCTTCTTGGTGCTGGACTGTTGGATTTGGAATGTGTTTGGAAATAAAGTTCTTTTTTACAAAACTATTTCTAGAAAGTAAAATGTTAAATAAGGAACAAAGAAAGCAGAATGTTTATAGAAAACAGGAAGTGAAAAACAAATCAAACGTTTAAGGTTTTCCTTTTCGTTTGTTTTCTATTTGTTTTGGTACTGGGGATTGAACCCAAGGGAGCTTTACCACTGAGCTACATCCCCAGGTTTCTTCACTCTTTTTTTTTTTTTGAGACAGGGTCTCACTAAGTTGCCCAGGCTGGTCTTGAACTTGGGATCTTTCTGCCTCAGCCTCTCAAGTCACTGGGATTACAAGTGTGTGCCACCGTACCTGGCTAGCCAGTTTTTCAAATAATGTTTGCTATGAGATTTCAGTGTAGACTTATTTTCCTCTGACAAATAGTAACTGACTGGATTTTTCTCATTTTAGCTTCTTTTAATAAGGGTTAATATTTCAGATACTTGGTTAGATTCATTTAACTCATAGGATATGCAACTTGACAAATTTTAATGCCCAGTCTTGCGTAGCTTATTGTAATTTGGTACTTAAAGGGGGGAAAAATCCCTTTCCTGTCTTTTCTTTCTTTCCCCTCTTCTCTTTTAGCAGTTGGTATATACTGAAGACCTACAGCTAGCTCCTCCAGCGTGTAGGGAGAGAATGTGGGGTTTTGTCAGGTCCTCCACAGGGGGGAGAAGCTAGTGTGTCTCTTCCCTTGAGGTATAGTTCTTCCAGTCTGATGAACTGTCAGATCCACTGAGTGGTTGGTAAAGCAGATTGGACAGTGACTCGAGGAAGTGGGGGGGGTGATATGTTAACCAATAACAATCAAAAGCAAAGTGATTTCTCCAAGGCCCTGTAGATAGAACCATGTATGTTTCTAATGTTCCCTGTCTGCCGGAATTATTGTTTTCTATGGGGAAAAGGAGCCTGTTTGTGAGAGGGTGCTTTAAAAGGTAATTTGGAATGGACTGTAAAGGCACAAAGAGCTATCTCAGTGCCAGTGCTGAAAACCAGAGGCTGTTAAAAGGGCGGGGGGGGGGGGGCACCAAGAAAAAAATGCTGGTGTGTGTGTCAGGTGATGAAACTTGCTTAATCTCAGTAGCGAAACTTGCTTAATCTCAGTAGCCCTTGGACAGAATGCCAACCCAAAGTTTTTGTTTTATTGTTATTTTGCACTGGGGATTGAACTCAAGGCTGTAAGCACTTCATCACTGAGTTGTGCCCCCAACCTCCGATGTTTTGTATTCACATACTTAGGTATTTTTAAATGGAATTATTTTATTCAAATCTTTTATCCTATTATGATTTAATATACTACTTTGCAGTAAAAATCAAAGAAAACAGGTTTTTACTTATGTTCACCATTGTAGTTTGAGTTTACTGGGAAATAGAATTCTGCTGCAGATCTTACATGACTGATTTCTCGACCCAAAGTGGGCTTGACAGTGGACTGGAGCAGTAATAGCCCACCTACTGTCAGGAGAAGCCAGGGCAGACTTTTCCCAGCAAGCCTGCCTGAGGTGGGCCTTGTCCTAGACCCCAAGGACCTAGAGTAGGCAGTCCCCCGGCTGTGGGAGCCAGGAACAGGGCAGGTCCACCAGCAGAAATTCTGCCAGCAGGAAAGTTTGGGGTCTGGGTACCTGCAGAATATAAGTTAAAAGGTTGAAGCCTATGTTCTTAAGTATATATGAAGCACCTACTACAGAATGTTGAGAAATGGCTATAAGTCTAATAAACAATGTGTGCTGGGGCTGGGGACGTGGCTCAAGCGGTAGTGCGCTTGCCTGGCATGCGTGCTGCCCGGGTTCGATCCTCAGCACCACATACAAACAAGGATGTTGTGTCCGCCAAAAACTGAAAAATAAATATTAAAAAATTCTCTCTCTCTCTCTCTCAAAAAAAAAAAATTAAAAAAAAAAAAAAAACAATGTGTGCTACTGCTTTTAGAGTGTGGTTTTTTTATTTTGTTTTTTGTCTTGACTCCGCAGAGTCACAGACAAAAATGGATAATTAAACATTGTGATTCTCATTCATATAGGACCTGAGTTGTTCTGTTCTTGAACCTTTTTTTTTTTTAATTATTTTTTTAATATATATACTGGCGATTGAACCCAGAGAGGTGCTTTACTACCAAACTATATCCCCAGCCTTTTTTATTATATTTTGTTTGGGGATTTTTTGATTTATTTTATTGTTTGTTTGGGGGTGAGGGACAGGTTCATGGTGAATTGCTCAAGCTAACCTCAAACTTGCAGTCCTCCTGCCTCAACCTCCTGAGTTGCTGGGATTATAGGCTTACACCTTGGCATCAGGCTGCATTGACATTTTAAAATAACTACAAATACGCCAAAAAGAGAAATTAAGTCACCTAATCTTGCCGTGCAGACCTAACCACTGGTGTGCTTCTGAAGATAGCAGATAACTAATTATCCAATGCCTCCCTCCTCTGTTCCCTTGAGTCCTTCATCATGGAGAGCCCCACCCACCCCCCAAGCTTGCATTGACTCCAGCTTTTGGAGACCCCAGGATATAGACAATATTTCACGAGGAAAATCCCTTTCAAAGTGGCTGCTCTTACCTGCTTTCCAATTACTCTTCTCTGGGTTCAGATTTAAAATTAGATACTTAATATCGAAATATAAAAAACTGTTTGTGGTATTTGGGTTATGTTTTTATTTTCTTCTTTTGCAAAAGGACTGGATAGAATGTGTATTATACACACACACACCTAGAATTTAGAAAAGTCATAATATAATCAAGAATACTTCATGTTTAGGACAATTTTGTGGTAGGACTAGAAGAACAGTGGGTTGGGAGTCTACAGTGTTGAATGATAGTACCTGACTAATCACACATGCCATCTAGAGAATATATCTAACCACTTGGATTTCAATGTTCCTACACTGATAAAACCAGGAACCACATTAGACAGTCTTTCAATTCGACTATAGTAACCTAAGGCAATAAACCTTAATTTCCTTGTGCCTTCTCCATGATCAGTTCAGTTTTCTGTATTGAGGATTATATCTATTAGTGGATAATTTTCTAAGATTCTAGCAGCCAGGCATGAGCAAGTGAAGAGTAAACACCTGACTCCTTATGAATTTGCCCAGTTCCGCTTCTTCACCAAAAGGGTGAAGACTTCAGGGCACTAGAAAACTGTGATGATATGACCTTAGACTGAAATTATATGAATGTACTTTAATGATAAGATATATATTGTAATTTGTAAATGTAACTCAAAACCCTCCCTCTGAGTCTGATCATTTGTGGTTGGCCATTCAGATCTCATTTCTATTTGACAAGGGTTTATTTAAGATTGATTTGTGGAACAGTTGTTTAACATTCAAGTGATCTATTATGTCAAGTCTTTAGCTAGACCTGTTTTAAATGAGCTGTTCATTAAATAGAAAACCAAACAAATTCAGATTTCTACCCCAACTTAGCAAAACCAGTGTAATTAAAATTTTATCTTCATATATGTTTATTTAATCTGGGTTTTTTCTTGAATATTCATTAAAGATAATAATTGTATAAGTGACAATCCCCCTCCCATGGTGCTGGAGATTATACTCAGGGCATTGTGCATGCAAGGCAAAACCTATACCAACCTGCTATATTCCCAATCCCCATATAAGTGACATTTTTAAAGTTACTCTTGATAATACTATTTCTTATCAAGACTACAGGGCTGGGGTTGTATTTCAGGCTTGCCTAGCATGTGTGAAGCACTGGGTTTAATCCTTAGCACCATATAAAAATAAATAAATAAAATAAAGATATTGTGTCCATTTACAACTAAATGTGTGTGTGTGAGTGTGAGTGTGTGTATACATATATGATACGAACTACAGACTTTAATAGGTTCAGAGAAGAACCAATACTGCACACTAAACTAAGAGAATTCTTTACTATTTGGTTATATTTGGGGGATGGGGATCAGTTGGATGGAAGCTAAAGATGATAGTTACATAGTGATCAAACTGCTTTAGATGGTAGCTTTATCCATCATTCCAATTCTTACTGTTAGTGTCGTGGCCTTTCTTCTTTTCCAGTGTCCAGCTTGTTACAGCTATAATTGGCACATTGTTTCCTATTGAGCAAATACAACCATTGTCTGGTTTTTTAACTCAGATTTTTGTCCCTTTTCTGTGTTCTAGGTGCTCCATACTTGCTTGCAGTGCTTATGTGGCTCTGGCTTTGGGTGATAACCTTATGGCTCTGAATCACGCAGATAAACTTCTTCAGCAGCCTAAACTGTCAGGATCTCTTAAGTAAGTATGACTCACTCTACATGTTCCTGGTTTGTTTTATTTCAAGGTTTCTGGTTAGTTCCTGGTACATATTGTCTTTTTTACTCCTCCAGTAGAATATGTATTTGTGGAGAAAATAATGGCTTATAATTTTTCTTATAGATTTTTTTTAACCTATTGCACTTCAAAGATCAGTGGAAATGGCATTTATTATGCTGAACATTAACAAAAACCAAATTCAGGACTGTCTGCTGCTAGGGCTGATAGGAACACTTTAGGCCCCAAAAATACAGCAAGTACTCAGAGAAAAGACCCACAAAAAAAATTTTTTTGAACCATCACAGTGGTGTACACCTGTAATCCCAGCAATTGGGAGGCTGAGGTAGGAGATTTGCAACTTCAAGGCCAGCCTCAGCAATTTAATAAGACCCTAAGCAATTTAATAAGACCCTGTCTCAAAATAAAATACAATTGCTGGATGTGGTGGAGCACTCCTGTAATCCCAGCAGCTTGGGAGGCTGAAGCAGGAGGATTGCAAGTGTGGGATCAGCCTGGGCAACTTAAAGAGATCCTGTCGTTTGTTTTTGGTTTTGGTTTTTTTGGTACTGGGGATTGAATTTAGGGGCACTTTACCACTGATCTACTCCCGTAACCCTTTTTTTTTTTTTTTTTTTTTTAAACTTTGAGACAGGGTCTCACTAAGTTGCCGAAACTGGCCTCAAATTTGGAATTCTCCTGCCTGAGCCTCTGGAGTCACCGGGATTACAGGCAAGTGCCACCACAACCCACTAGGGAGACCAAATCTCAAAATTTAAGAAAAAACTGTGGGTGGACAGGGATGAATGTGGTGGCACATGCCTGTGATTCCAGCATCTTGGGAGGCTGAGGCAGGAGAATCACAAGTTCAAAGCCCAGTCTGAACAACCTAGCAAGGCCTTTAAGCAAATTAGTGAGACCCTGTCTAAAAGTATAAAGGGGATGTAGCTCAGTTGGTAAAGTGCTTACCTCACATGCACAAAACCCTGGATTCAATCCCCAGCACCACAAAAAAAGTGGGGGTGGGTACTGGGAATACAGCTTAGTGGTTAAGCACCCCTGGGTTCAATCCCCAGTATCCAAATAAAGGCGTAATAAGGACTGGATATGTAACTCAGTGATAAAGTGACTCTGGGTTCAATCTCCAGGACCAAAGAAACTGTAAAAGCTTAGTTTGTTTTGTTCTGTTCTCAAGTAGAAAAAGTCATTAAAATTTTGAGCATGGGGCTGGGAATGTGGCTCAAGCGGTAGCACGCTCGCCTGGCATGCTCGAGGCGCTGGGTTCAATCCTCAGCACCACATACAAATAAAGATGTTGTGTCCTGCAAGTGTCACTAAGTGGAAGAGCATGTTCTTAGCATGTACAAGGCCTGGGTTTGACCCCTACATGCACATGCATGCAGACACAAATTTTTTTGAATTGCTGTATGATATGTCTAAGACTATTTGAAATCAGTCAGGTGTTAATGGGGGAAATGGCTCAGAATAAGAGACTGGAAGAATCAGACTGTTATTAGCCAGGCAGATGTGCATCTGATATCACATCAGGGGGCATAAAGTAAGTAGCATGGAAAGCAGAAAATCTTGGATTAGAAGTAAAGCCTGATCTGGCACATTGGTGCTTTCTGAGTCTTCCAGCAGCAGAGACTGAAGGAATCTGAGTTTGAGACAGGGTCTTGCTAAGTTCCATAGGGCCTTACTAAATTGCTGAGACTGACTTTGAACTCATAATCCTCCTGTCTCAGTCTCCTGAGTTGCTGTGATTACAGGCATTTGCCACCACACCTGGCAAAAATCGGATTCTGATGCTCCACACAGTAGGCATTCAGTTTTGAATCTCTTTTGTTAGAACTTTATTACCTTTTGTGTTAATATTCTCTTTTAAAAAAAAAAAGAGGGCTGGGGCTGTAGCTCAGCAGCAAAGTGCTCACCTAGCATGTGCGGGGCCCTGGGTTCAATCCTCAGCACCACATAAAAATAAATAAATAAATAAATAAATAAATAAAGATATTGTGTACAACTACAACTAAAAAATAAATATTAAAAAAAAAAAGACACAAATTTTGTTTAAAAAAAAAAAAAAAGGATAGCACAAATTTGCCAGCTTGAATTGCATATTTAATTGCTGTGTATGTGCTTTGTTCCATTTGACTAGCATAAAATTATTATATATTTTAAGGTGTTTTTTAAAGAGAAAATTTAACCCTCAGTTATTCTACTTTTCCTAAATAGAGATTTTAATTCAAGGATATAAAATATTTGAAACATATACCCACTGTAATGTAATATAATACACCTGGTAGTATCACCCATTGGACATTTTTGTGATGACCTACTTTTCAGTTTGGAATATGTTTGTTGTTGTTTTTTTTCATTTTAGGTTCTTAGGCCATTTATATGCTGCAGAAGCCCTCATCTCTCTCGACAGAATATCCGATGCTATTACTCACTTGAACCCAGAGAATGTCACTGATGTCTCCTTAGGAATCTCTTCAAATGAGCAGGACCAAGGTTAATGAGGACACATTTGATCAGAATTGGTCACTGTTTCTACTTCCTTCCTGTCATAATTCAGGATATGTAGAAACATAAGGGCATGGTTTTAAAGGAAAGGGGTATCAGAATGGCCTTCCACATTTTGAGTTGTACTTACTCTGTAATATTTGTTAAGTAACCCTTTTGATCATTTAGTCTAAATTCTTACTTTTGAAAGACTGATGTTAGGAGGATTTTTTTCTCCTTTCTTTTTATAAAGAAATGAGATCCTCCTTCCTTTCCTTTCCTTCCCTTTCTTTCAAGAAATGAGATCTCATTATATTGCTCACACTGGTCTTAAACCAAGACACTAGGGATCCTCCTGTCTCAGCATCCTGAATAGCTGGAACTAGAGAGTCATGCCACCATACCCCAGCTTAGAGGATTCATTTGGGTTTGATTTTGAATTGTATATTTTTACTTTCCACAGATCCCCAATCCAGGAGGGAATAAAAATATATTTAAAAGTTAATTTTAAATCGTGGTTAAGTTTTTGAGGAAGTGAAATTATGTGGTATTCCTTTACTTGAATTTAGCTCTCAGTATTGGTGTATTGTAGATAGTAGCATTCTCACTTCTTTCAATAGAACCTCCAATACATTAAAAGTAAATATTGTTACTAATTATATTAGGTTTCTACTTTATAAGGAAACTTAGATTTTTAGAAAATATGCTCTGTTGCCCTGTCCCTCAGATTTATTTTCATGTCTTTGTAGGATCAGACAAGGGTGAAAATGAAGCAATGGAATCCTGTAAGTAAGGAGTTTTTAAGGCTGGGGGTATGACCCAGTGGTAGAGCACTTGCCCAACATGCATGAGGCCCTGGGTTCAGTCCCTAGCACTACCCAAAAAAAAAAAAAAAGAAAGAAAGAAAGAAAGAAAAGAAAAAGCTTTGTAAATATTTAAATGTGCCTGGCCTGCATCCCCAAGTTTTAGACCCTAAATCTTCTGTGTCCTTCATTTGTCTGCCTGAGAAGCAGTGCTGTGCTTCATTGTGAGTGGCTCCTCAAGGGCCTTAGATTGGGCTATTCCCTCACCGTTGGCAAAGACTGTTCACCCTGTTTGTGCTCTTTCCACAGCTGGGAAGCGGGCCCCTCAGTGCTACCCCAGTTCTGTCAACTCTGCCAGGACGGTGATGCTATTCAATCTTGGCAGTGCATACTGCCTGAGGAGCGAGTATGACAAAGCCCGAAAATGTCTGCACCAGGTAAAGCCACAGTGGGCAGAGCTGAAACTTCCTGTAAAGCAGCCAGCAAATGGTTTGAGAGTTATGGTTTGTTTTTTGTTTGAGGCTTTTGGTCAGTTTGTTGAATTGGAATGTTACTTTTCAAGTTTAAAAATATTCTTAAAAGGTAAATAGCTGATCAGTATTGCAAATGAACTACACACTTAATGTAGAGTGTTTACCGATGATTTATTTATGATTTATGATTTTTATTTATTTATTTATTTATTTTCTTTGGTGGGGGAGTACCAGGGATTGAACCTAGCGGCACTTAAGCTGTGAGCCACATCCACAGCCATTTTTATATTTTATTCTAAGACAGGATCTTGCTCAGTTGCTGAGGGCCTCACTAAGTTGCTGAGGCTGGCTTAAATTCACGATCCTGCCTCATCCTCCCCAGGCCACTGGGATTAGAGGTATGGACCACTGAGCCCAGCCTGATGATTTTTTTTTTTTTTTTAATAATTAAATTTTCAAAAGATTGAAAACCAGTCAGGCATGGTGGCTCATTCCTATAATCCCAGCAGCTTGGGAGGCCGAGATAAGAGAATTGTGAGTTCAGAGCCAGCCTCAGCCACTACAAGGCACTTAGCAACTCAGTGAGACCCTGTCTCTAAATAAACTACAAAATACAGCTGGGGATGTGGCTCGATTGAAAACCACTTAAATAGGAGACCACTTAAATAATAGTACATCTACATAGTTGAGTACAATGTAGTTTTAAACTCCGTTTACTAGTGTGTAAAGATACCCAAAACATAACTGAGTGAAAAGAGCAAGGTATAAACCATTTTCTGCATGGTCATGTGTATGCATGAAAGATCTCTGATTGGGTACACTAGTAGCTGCAGCATTAGTTATAGAGGCAGCAGGAGTAGAGTACTACTACTGGGATACTTTTTGCTGCATTCTCGTAAGCATTTTAATTTTGAATTGTGTAAATCTTTATTCAGAAAGGTAACTTAATACACTCTAAGTCAGGTTTCAGAAAGCCAGTAATAGAGACACACTAAAATAAGTTGACACACTACAATAAGTTGCTGGCAATATGTAACTAACATGTATGATATTATCTAGGAGTTGAGTTTATGAGTTAAACTGGTAACAATAAGCCTATAAGTATAAAAAAAATCTCCTTTTCTGGATTAAGTTGTTACACCTCATCTAATGTTAGAGGAATAAAAGCCTTTCTATATCAGGCACAGTGGGGCACACCTGAATCTGAATGATGCAGTGGTGCATCATTAGGCCTCAAAGATTATTCCAATTGGACCTGTATAGGCATCTTACCATAATTGGAAAAATTCATGGGTGTAAACTATACCTGTAGTAATGAACTGAGATTACCATTGATTTCACAGAATTTGAAAGATATAAGCCCTCAAAGGACATTGAAACAGCAGATATCTATTGAATACATAAGTCTCTGTTAAGCCATGATAATAAGACTTATTAGGCTATATCTTCTCTTTTTTTGAGGGGTTGCGGGATACTGGGGATTGAACTCAGGAGCACTGAATCACATTTCCATCCCTTTTTTATTTTTATTTTGAGACAAGGTCTCACTGAGTTGCTGAGATTGACTTTGAACTTGCAATTCTCCTGCCTCAGACTTCCAAGTTGCTGGGATTACAGGCATGTGCCACTGCGCCAGGCTTAGATGATACAGAATATAAGACTTCTATTATAGAAAGTTTATGCCAAATGGTACGTTCACCAGAAGCACATGAGAACACATTCCTACATGTTTGCTAGTATAACTGAAATCAAAGTTAAACCTATTCTAAGGAGATTTTGATGGCTTCCAAAATCCTGCCTATTCAGATTACCTTGATGCACTTAAAAGTGATAATGCTTTACCATGGAAAAACTATAAAATAATTATAAATGATATTTAGTCAACTTAGTGGCATTTAGTGAGCATTTCTTTTTTGGTACTGGGGATTGAATTCAGGAATGCTGTACCACTGAACTACATCCCTAGTGTTTTATTTTGTATTTTGAGGCAGGGTTTCACCAAGTTGCTGAGGCTGGCCTTGAACTTGTGACCTTCCTTGCCTCAGCCTCCAGAGTTCCTGGGATTTCAGGTTTGCGCCACCATGCCCAATATCTAGTGAGCATTTCTCATCCAAAAGACTGTGACACACTATCCAGGGAACATGTTTGATATTATCTAGGAGTTGAGTTTATGAGTTAAACTGGTAAAAGTAAAAGATCTCACCGTTCTCAGTGGCAAGATATTTAACAGCCCTTTTAAAAGTGCTCCTGGAACTTAGGATAGACTATATGCCTAGCATGCACAAGGCCCTGGTTTTGACACCCAGTGCCACAAAAAATTAAAAATAGTTTAAGAAAATGAAAGTGCCCCTGTATCCCAATTACAGCAAACAGGGCTTTTGATCTAAAGTTGTAGTGTGTGCAGTTTCGCTCAGGTTCTCATACAGCAGGTGGCCACGGCTGCTGACAAATGCTGAGAGAGACAGATGGGGTCAGGCCTGGTTCGGGGTCTGAGGGGGTTTTGTTTTGGTCCCTTGGTTTTTAGGTTAATCCAATGACTGGACCTTTGTTAATTGGGAGGCCCACCCTGCCTAGGAGAGCAAAACAATGACGTTAGGAGTTGCAAAGGCCTCCAAGTAGATGTTTCCAAGGTAGCCTGCCCACCACTAACCATTCTGAACTGCCAGTAGGCAAAGTGTCATTAAATCTCATAATGTCGTAGCCTTGAACCCTTGTATTTTATGAAAAATTGCAAACTGTGGTCAATGCAAAGAATAGTAAACATCCTGTGTTTACTAGCCACTTGGGGGAAGAATTTTTAATATCCACAAAAATGGTGGCCATGTTCTTGCTTATATAAAGGTAAGCCTATAAATATAAAAAAATCTCCTTTTCTGCATTAAGTTGTTACACCTCAGTGATGTTAGAGGAATAAAAGCCTTTCTATATCAGGCACAGTGGGGCACACCTGTAATCCCAGCAACTCAGGAAGCTGAGATAGGAAGATTACAAGTTTAAGGATAGCCTCAGCAATCTAGTGAGGCCCTAAGCAACATAACAAGACCCTATCTCAAAATAAAAAGGGCCGGAGATGTGACTCAGTAGTGAAGAGCTCCTGGGTTGAATCCCTAGTATAAATAGAATGAATGAATGAATGCATACAGGCTGGGGGTTTAGCTCAGTGGTAGAGCACCCATGGGTTCAATCCCTAGTACCCCCTCAAAGGGCTCCCCATCCCATTAGTGAGAAACTTAAGGTTATGGCCTGTTTATATGAGGCTCCCTAGTAGTCTGGGATTTCTCCTAGTATGCCAGAAACTGACCACCCAGTGCAAGTTTCTGGTTTTCCCACACAATCCTGCATTCAAGCCTCATCCTTCAATGCCATTTACCATGGCATGGTGATGCACACCTATAATCCCACTACTCTGAAACCTGAGGCAGATGTATCACAAATTCCAGGCCAGCTTCAGCAATTTAGCAAGATCTTGTCTCAGAAACTAATGGGAGGGCTGGGGCTGTAGCTCAGTGGTAAAGCATTGCCTCACATGTGTGAGGCACTGGGTTTGATCTTCAGCACCACATAAAAATAAATAAAGATACTGTGTGTTCATCTACGACTAAAAAAAATATTTAAAAAAAAAAAAAAAAGGTAATGAGAATGTAGCTCAGTGGTCAGGTGCCCCTAGGTTCAGGTCCCAGTACTGCAGTAAATAAATACCATTGTCCCCCATTTTCTGGATATCAAATACCTGCCTCCAAGCACTAAGACAGGTCTCTCTTACTCCCAGATCTCCTTATTCAAAAGAACTTATTCTGCGTCTGAGAGTGCATCTCAGTGGTAGAATGCTTGCCTTGCGTGCACAAGAGACCCTGGATTTTATCCCAGCACCACACACACACAAAAAAAATATTTAATTTAAAAAACACCTTTCTCCAAGGGCTGGGGAGCTGGGGATGTAATTCAGTAGTAGAGTGCTTGCTTATAACATGTGTGAGGCCCTGAATTCAATACCCAGCACTGGAAAAAAAAATCTTTCTAGGTGAGTGTAGTAGCACACACCTATAATCCCCCAAGATTCTGGAGGCTGAAGCAGAAGGATCTCAAGTTTGAGGCCAGGCTTGGCCACTTAGCAAGACCCTATCAAATAAAATAAAAAGGGCCAGAGATGGATGTGGCTCAGTGATAGAGTACCCCTGCTCCAGTACCAAAAAAAAAAAAAAAAACTTTTTCTCTCCATTTTCACTGCACATTTCACTTAGCCTCTCTTCCTATCATTAGGTAAATTTGTTATTACTTCCATGCATTATTGTCACAGGAGCCCTTGTCTTGTCCCACATTTACCTCTGTTCAGTAAATATTTGTAGAATTACCTTCTCCAATTAGGTTAAGGGAAGAAGCAGAATACTCTGGAAGCAGTAAGCAGCTGACACTAGATGGGGAAATATAAGTTGATAAGATAAGGGAAAGGCTGCGGCCCAAAGAGACCCAGACTGAGTAATGGAATCTGTAATGTTAACACCTCTGACCATAACAACCCAGGCTTTCCTTCCTGAGTGCTGGATCAGAGAAAAACTGCTGGCTGATGTTGTGTCAGATCTAAGGACAGCATGTTGCCTAAACCAATAAATTATTTTATTTGACTGATTTCTATGAGGTTTCAGTCCTTAAAAATGAGGACATCACCTGGTACAGTAGTGCATGCCTCCTAATCCCTGTGACTCGGGAGGCTGAGACAAGAGGATGGCAAGTTCCAGGCCAGCTTCAGTACCCTTTTTTTTATTTATTTATTTTTTTTATTTGTAGTTGGACACAATACCTCTATTTTGTTTGTTTTTATGTGATGCTGAGGATCAAACCCAGGGCCTCTCATGTGCTAGGCAAGCAAGCTCTACCTTTTTTTTTTTTTTTTTTTTTGGTACCAAGGATTGAATTCATGGGCACTTGACCACTGAGCCACATCCCCAGCCCTATTTTGTATTTTATTTAGAGACAGGGTCTTACTGAGTTGCTTATTAGCACCTCACTGTTACTGAGGTTATCTTTTCTCCTGCCTCATCCTTCTAAGCCACTAGGATTACAGGCGTGCACCACCACACCTGGCTCAGCTTCAGCATCTTAGCAAGATCCTCCTATCTCAAAAAAATAAAAAGGGCCGGGCACGGTGACACATACCTGTAATCCCAGCAGCTTGGGAGGCTGAGACAGGAGGAGTGAGGGTTAAAAGTCACCCGCAGCAGTAGGGAGGCACTAAGCAACTCAGTGGACCCTGTCTCTAAATAAAATACAAAACAGGGCTGGGGATCTGGCTCAGTGATTGAGTGCCCCCGAGTTCAATCCCTGGTAACAAAAAATAAAATAAAAAGGACTCATGGGGTTAGGATTGTGGCTTAGTGGTAGAGTACTTGCCTAGCATGTGTGAGGCACTGAGTTCAATTCTTGGCCCCACATAAAAAATAAATTCATTAAATAACGACATTGTGTTTATCTATAAAAAATTTTTTTAAAAAAAATAAATATAGGGGCTGGGATTGTGGCTCAACAGTAGAGCGCTTGCCTAGCAAGGGCGGGACCCGGGTTCGATCCTCAGCACCACATAAAAATAAAGGCATTGTGGTGTGTCCATCTATACCTAAAAAATAAATATTTTTAAAAAATAAATAAAATGTATAAATAAATAAAAAGGACTCAGAGGATATAGCTCAGTGGTAAAAGGAATTGACCTCCAGGATTTTTTTTTTGGGGGGGGGGTTGTCAAACAGGCTAAATGAGACATTTTTTGTGTATTATCAACTGTTTAAGTTTGAACTCTTGACATTGGCAACATGTAAATACAGCTGTATCTGGTGTGGAGCAGCCAGCAGACCTTGGGTCTGTGATTAAAGTATAAGAGTCAGGGGTGTTCCTAGTAGCCAAGATTAAGAACCTCAACCTGATAAAATCTAAGTAGGAAGAAAAATTTCCCCTATTATAAAATGAAGTCCGGGTGTGCTGGCATATGCTTGTAATCCCAGCTACTTGGGAGGCTGAGGCAGGAGCATCCCAAGTTTGAAATCAGACTCAACAATTTACTGAGGCACTAAGGAACTTAGCAAGACCCTGTGTCAAAATAAAAGATGAAAAAGGCCAGGGAATGTGGCTTAGTGGCAACGCACCCCTGGATTCAATCATCAGTACCAAAAAAAAAAAAAAAAAAACCCTCACTATAGAATTGTAAGTCATGCTGCCTAAACAATTTAGCAACACCCTGTCTCAAAATAAAAAGGGCTGGGATATACTTCAGTAGTAAAAACATCCCTATGTCAATCCCTGGTCACCCCGCCCCCAAAAAATAATAAACTGCAGTGGATTGTACAGGAGAATTTTATCTAAAAATTACTTTTTTGTTGTTTTTTGTTGCTTGGAGTTTGTATCTTAAGCTGTTGGTTTTTATGGGTGTCTTTCTGTTTTGAACAAAGGCAGCTTCAATGATCCATCCAAAAGAAGTGCCCCCTGAGGCCATCTTGTTGGCAGTCTATCTTGAACTGCAGAATGGTGAGTATTTCTCTCAAGTTAGGACTATATCCCTTCAAAAAGTCCAAGATCATTTTTGTCTGCTTTTTCTCTTAAAAATCAAAACTTTGAGCTGAGTGTGGTGGTGCACGCCTATAATCCCATCGGTTTGGGACGCTGAGGCGAGTTCAGAGCCAGCCTCAGCAAAAGTGACGTGGTGAGCAACTCAATGAAACCCTGTCTCTAAATAAAATATAAAATAGGATTAAGGATGTGAAACAGTGGTCAAATGTCCCTGAATTCTATCCCTAGTACTTACATACATACATACAACTTTGGGCTGGGTGTGGTGGTGCATACCTGTAAATCCAGTGACTCAGGAAACTGAAGCATGAACATCGCAACTTCAAAACTAGTCCCAGCAACTAAGTGAAGTCCTAGCAACTTAGTGAGATCCTGTCTCAAAAAAAAATAAAAGAGCTAGGGATTGTAGCTGAGTGGTTAAACACCTATGGGCTCACAACCCAGTACAAAAAATAATAATAACTTTGTCCCTAATGGTGCCTGCCTATAATACAAGGGACCCAGGGGTCTGAGGCAGTAGAATGGCAAGTTCAAGGCCACCCTCTGCAGTTTAATGAATGAGTCCTTGTCTCAAAATAAAATTATAAGGACTGGGCATATAGCTCAGTGCTAGTACAGTTCTCCCTGGGTTCAATCCCTAATTGGGAGGATTGGGGGGACTAAAGCTATACCTTCTTTGAAGATATTGCCTATCAAGTTCTTCCAAATGAAAATGTCATAGTTAGGAATTGTGGTATCTTAAATGAGTTCTGTCTACAAATTAAGGATATTTCCTTTTATCTGTGAAAATACAGAATTGGTTGAAGATATAGCTCAGCAACAGAACATTTACCTAACATGCAAGCCCTGAGTGCTGGGAGGGGGAAAATCCCTGGGGACCTTTTTTAAAAATCCTATTGCCAGGGCTGGGGTTGTGGCTCATATTAAAAAAAAAATCCTATTGCCAGGCCAGATGTGGTAATACACACCTCTAATCCCATTAATTTGGGAGACTGAGGCAGGGGGATTAAAGTTTAAGGCCTGACTGTGCAATTTTTTTTTTTTTTTTAAATGATACTCAGGGGCACTAAGCCACATCCAGCCCTTTTTATTTTTTATTATTATTTTTTTGGTACCAGGGATTGAACCCAGGGCATTTAACCCCTGAGATACATCCTCTAGACCTTTTTATTTTTATTTTTTTTTTTTCATTTTAGGACAGGGTCTCACGAAATTGCTTAGGGCCTTGCTAAATGGCTGAGGCTGGGTTTGAACTTGGGGATCCTCTTGCATCAGCCTCCTAAGCCTCTGGGATTATAAGCATTTGCCACCACACTTGGCCAGACTGGGCAATTTAGCAAGACCCTGTCTCAAAATAAAAAATAAAATTAAGAGTCAGGCACAGCGGTAGAGCATGTGCCCAAGACACATAACTTGAATCAGATTTTTTTCTTTTGGAGCAGTTAGGATTAAACTCAGGGGCACTTTACCACTAACCTACATCCCCAACCCTTTTTATTTTTTTATTTTGAAACAAGGTCTTACTATGTTGTACAGGGCCTTGCTAAATTGCTGGGGCTATCCTCAAATTTTAGAATCCTTCTGACTCAGCCTCCAGAGTACCTGGGATTACAGGCTTCTTAAATCATTTCTGGAGATGGAAACTAATGTGGTGGTTCATGCCTGTAGTCACAGCTACTTAGGAGGCTGAAGCAAAAGAATGACAAGTTCAAGGCCTTAGCAACTTAGTGAGACCCTGTCTTAAAATAAAAAGTAGTTAGGTGTAGTGGTACACACCTGTAATCCCAGCAGTTTAGGAGGCTGAGGCAGAAGGATCTCAAGTTTAAAGATAGCCTCAGCGGTGGTGAGGTGCTAAGCAATTTAATGAGACCCTATCTAAATAAAATAAGTCTGGGGATGTGGCTCAGTGGTCAAGTGCCCCTGAGTTCAATCCCTAGTACCAAAATAAATAAGTAAAGAGGACTGAGGATATAGCTCAGTGCTGGAGCATCCTTGCAATCAATCCCCATTACCACAAAAAAATATATAAATTGTGAAAAAAAAACAAAACATTTTTTCTATTGTTGAAATGGGATGTGTGATTCCAGTGTCCAGCCAAAGCTGCAGACCGTGGCACTTCTAGATCATCTTTTACCTCCCTTGTGGGATTCTGATGACCTGCTTTGTGAGGAGAGTGGGTGTCCTGTTGTATTTGTGTTTTAATGGAAAGTGTTTTTATAGGTAATACCCAGCTGGCCTTACAGATCATCAAAAGAAATCAGCTGCTTCCTACAGTGAAAACACACTCTGAAATGAGAAAGAAGCCAGTGTTTCAGCCTGTCCACCCAATCCAACCCATCCAAATGCCAGCTTTCACCACTGTGCAGAGAAAGTGATATTTTGCTTTTGGGAAACTGTTACCTGAGACCCAGGGGAGCATTTATGGCCTTTTTAGTTGTATCACAACAAAATGAATGAAAGATGGTGACAGGTGCTAGTTTTGAAGATATAGTTTTGAGACCATTCTACCCTTAACTTTTTTGCCATACGCTCACTTAAAATTAAGGATTCACAAACTAATTTTCAGCCGTTTTCTTCTAACCCCTGCCAAACTATTAATTTTGAACCATTATGTGATGTATCTGTGTCACAGGCAATTAAAAAACATGGTCTTATCAGTACAGTCTTGGTAGTCTTTCTTCCAACTGTTTTTAACATCTGAGGTATTTAGTATTGAAGTTTAAAAAATTAGAGAGCCAAAGGTGGTGGCATACACCTGTACTGCCAGACAACTCAGAAGCTGGCATCAGGAAGATTGAAAGTTCAAGACCAAGCAACCCCATCTTAAAATAAAAAATAAAAGAGGCTCAGTGGTTAAGCACCCTTAGGTTCAGTCCTCAGTACAAAAAAATAAAGAATATTGTCAGAAGAACATGAAACTGGCACACACTGCTACTTGGGAGGCTCAGACAGGAGGTTTGCAAGTTCCAGGGCAATTTGGTGAGACCCTGTCTTAAAATGGAAAGGACTAGAGGTATAGCTGAGTGGTAGAGTACTTGCTTAGCTTGTATGAGACTGTTCAGTTCCCACTATGGGGGCGGGGTGCAGGAAAAGAACAACAACAACATTGATCAGGACTGGTATAATTGAGTTAGGAAGAGAGGACTGATCTGTTAGGAACCATTTATTAAAAATCACAGGCAGGCACAGTGACACTCAGGAGGCTAAGTCAGGAGGATCATAGATTTGAGGCCAGTCTTGGCAATTTAGCAAGACCCTGTGTCTAATTTTAAAAAAGAAAGAAAAGCAGGTGGCCTGGCTTCCTTAGGCTTCTTGAAGTCCTTTGCCTATGAGATGAGGGTAGGAGGACCTTTGCTGTGGTTTGAATATGGAGAGTGTACCCCTCACTCCCCGCCCCAAGGTCTGCATGTCAAAGGCTTGGCCCCCAGGGTGACACTATTGGGATACCTCCTTTAGGTATGGGGGTACTATGGGAGGTCCTTAGTCACTTGGAGGAGGGGTGCCCTCAAAGGTAATTGTGAGACTCCACTGGTCCTCAGTCTGTCCCTACTTTTTAGCTTGCTCATGAGAAGTAAGCAATTTGTTCCTCCCATGTCATTTGGCACTCTCATCAGAGGCCCAAAGCAGTGGGGCTGCCCAGTCTTGAACTGAAACTTCCAGAGCCATGAGCCAAAATAAACCTTTATTATTTTATGGTATTTTGTTGTAGTAATACAAAGCTAATAAAATCCTTATGATAGTATTGATCAAGGTCTGCAGCCTCTGCTTTCCTTGCCTTTGACTAACAACAGCACTGTGGGACCCTCAATTGCTGCAGGAGGATGGGAGCCTGGACATTGTGTGTGTGTGTGTGTGTGTTGCTCAGGATTGAACCCAAGGCCTTGTGTATGTGAGGCACGCACTCTACCAACTGAACTATATCCCCATCCCCAGCCTGGACATTTTCTAGAGAGTGACTACAGACTTCATAAGTTGCTGGAACCCCACAGGTTCTTACTGTAAACTGGGAAAAGGCCTGGAATTGATACTTGAAAATAACATCTTTGGAAAAATCTTAGGAAATTAGAATTTTGTTCTTTTTGCTGATTTGTTAATGGGGAAACAGGAATATCTGCAGAGGGCTTGGTAAGCCCCATATTAAATACGAATACATTTGCAGGCTGGGGATGTGGTTCAGTGGTAGAGAGCTTGCCTAGCATGTGTGAGACTCTGGGTTTGAGCCCCACCCCACATACAATATATTTAGCAATTTGGCACTATGTAACAAAAATGGTTGTTATTTATTTATACTGTGATTGAACCCAGAGGCACTTTACCACTGAGTTACATCCCCAGCCTTTTTTATTTTTTGAGAAAGGATCTCGCAAAATTGCTTATTAGTGCCTGGCTAAGCTGTTGAAGCTGGTCTTGAACTTGCAAACCTCGTGTCTCAGGAGTCGCTGTGATTACAGACATACACCACCATCCCCAGCTCTGGATCAGTAATTTAACAATGATTGTTTTTTTCTCACTTGAGACAAGTACATATAGACACCTGCTGGCCATATTTCTAGTGCGCACATATGCTCCTCAACTTATAATGGGGTTACATCCCGGTAAACCCTTGAGCAGTTGAAAATATCTTTAGTCCAGAGTATAATGGCTCAGCAACACAAAACAGACTGATTGTCCCTGATTTACTAACACACTACTTAAAATTTTTCAACTTGTCCAGGCGCAGTGGTGCATACATGTAATCCCACCAGTTCAGGAGGCTGAGGCAGGAGAATCTCGAGTTCAAAGTCGGCCTCAGCAAAAGTGAGACACTAGCAACTCAGTGAGACTGTCTCTAAATAAAATACAAAATAGGGGCGGGAATGGGGATGTGGCTCTGTGGTCTAGTGCCCCTGAGTTCAATCCCCAGTACCAAAAAAAATCTTCAATTTTATGAAGGTGTAGGCTGCCATTTATTTATTTGTTTGTTTACTTGAATAAAGCTGAAGGAGCTGAAGATCAGTGATCGAGTGCTTGCCTAGTATATACAAGGCCCTGGGTTCCCTGTCCTGTACTTCTGGGAAATAAAAAGCTGACAGTTCTTATGCATGAAACCTTGGGTTCCATCCCCAGTCAAGCATTGCAAGGGAAAAGATGTAAAAAATTGACAATGGTGGCATATACCTGTAATCCCAGTGGCTGGGTGGAGGAGCGAGGAAGCTAAGGCAGGAGGATTGCAAGTTCAAGGCCAGCCTCAGCAATTTAGCAAGGCCCTGAGCAACTGATACCTTGTCTCTAAATATAAAAAGGGCTGGGGATATGGCTCTGGTTCAGCACACTCAGGGTACCAAAAAAACAAAAACAAAAAAAACTGAGAATAACTTGGCTTAAAATAATATTTTATTGTTTTTCACTTTCAGTACAATGATCATTAAATTATATGTGCTATTCAGTACTTTTTTTGTTTGTTTTTTGCAGTACTGGGTGTGTGCATATACGCAGGAGCATATATACATTACTAGAAACTAGACCTGCAGCTACCTATGTACACTCATCTCAAGTGAGAGGAAAAACAATCATTGTTTAAATTACTGGTCCTGCTTGCCAGCAAGTGCTCACTAAGCTAAGTCCCTAGGCTTGAATTTGGGATCCTCCTGCCTCAACATCCTGAGTAGCTGAGATTACAGGCAAGTGCCACCATGGCTGGCAATAAAAAAGGTTTTGTCTTGTGACCGGGAAAGAGATGTCTCCAACAAAGTTTCCAAGGAGTCCCAAAGAGAAAGGAGAACTTGACTTGGGGACCAACAGGGTCCTTGCCTTCAGTATCAAAAGAATTTTAGTACTTGCCAGTCAGAGGGATAGTTTTATTTAGGAAAGCAGATACATATTCAAGGGGGAAAAGGTAATTTCAAGAGAAAGGTGCTTTTAAGGGTAAAGCAAGGAATACATATTCAAGGGACAATGCAGGCCATCTCCAGAGTGAAAGATGTGATATGGGGGTTCCTAGCTCCTCTTCTTAAAGGAAACTTGGTGAGAAGTAGGTTTGGAAGGTTTGTAGGAATAGTATCAGTTTGGTGATTTCTTTTTAGTTTTTTTGGGTACTAGGGATTGAATTCAGGGGCACTCAACCACTGAGCCACATCCCTAGCCCTATTTTGTATTTTATGAGAGACAGGGTCTCATGAGTTGCTTAGTGCCTTACTAAACTGCTGAGGATGGCTTTGAACTCAGATCCTCCTGCCTTCACCTCCACCTCCAGAGCCACTGGGATTACAGGCATGTACCACCGCCCCTGGCTAGTTCAGTGATTTCAAGACAGGTTCTGGTCTGGTCAATTCTCAGGATCCTCAGGCTAACGTGGTCTTCATTATCTGATCAACAAATAGCTAGCCCTGAGCTGGGCATGGTCACACATGCCTGTAATCCCAATAACGCAGGAGGCTGAGGCAGGAGGATCCTAAGGCAGGAGGCCACCCTCAGCTGTTTAGTGAGACCCTGTCTCATAATAAAAGTCAAAAAAAGGTTGGGGGTGTAGCTCAGTGGTAAAGCACCCCTGGCTGGGCTCAATCCCCAGTACCAAAAAAATATGAGACTGGCTTAGGGAGTGACATGCCTGGAAAAATATGTGGAACTTCAGAATTAAAATCTTTTTCCTGCCAGGGCATGGTGAGGGTTAGGGTGAGGCATGCCTGTAATCCGGCTACTGGGGAGGCTGAGGCACACAATACAGATGAGTTCATTTATCCCTCCTGCTGCCTACAGCAGGACCTGTTCAGCTCAGTCTGTACATTTATTTCATGTCAGCATTACTCTCTCAGTCTGTCTCACCCTTTTGAAGCCATCAGGAAACAGATGACTAGTATCAGGAATCTTGGACCCATACCATTTAGCTTTTTTTTTAGCTGGATTCTCACTATTGCTCAGACTGGCCAGGAAGTCCTGGGCTCAAGCAATCCTCCTGCCTCAGCCTCCTGAGCAGCTGGAACTAACTACAGACAATCACTACCATGCATGCCCTGTTTGGCTTCAAATCTTCATTGTTTCACTGAGATCAGACCAGTTGTTTTTGTATGTTTGTTTGTTTGTACCAGGAATGTTTATGACTGAGCTACATCCCCAGCCCTTTTTTATTTTTTATTTTGAGACAGTCTCCCTAAATTTTGTGAGAGCCTCACAAAATTGCTGAGGCTGGCTTTGAACTTGTGATCCTCCTGCCTCAACCTCCTGAGACACTGGGATTACAGGTATGCTCCACCATGTCCCAGACTGGCTTTCTGGGACAAGTTTGAGGTAGAACAGTTTCTTTGAGCCTGCTTTTTGTTCTTTTTCTTTTTGGTCACAGCTGTGACTCCTGCCTAGGGTTCCTACAGGGGCATCTTCAAGTTCTCTCCATGGTAACTGCTCCATGTGTTCCCCAAACTGGATTCTCTGCCATCTCCCAAAAGGAGTCACCATTTCAGAGCAGCTTCAGTCTGCTCTGGTGCCTTGAATTTTCTCCCTTGCAGTTTCACTGAGTCCACACCCCACTCATCTCATACTGCCTCTCCATGGCTCTAACTTCTGCCAAAGAAAGTCCTCTGGTATGCCAGCTCTTCCTTTCACGCATGCTTACTGAGGGCCAGTGAGGATTTTTTTGTTGTTGTTGCTGAGAACCATAGTAATTTGGCAAGTCAGGGAACACAATCTA